CCACTCTTGGCGGGGAACATGGCTGCTCCTCACCCGTGTAACAGCTCAGAGCCCCCCACCCTGAGCAGGCTGCATGCAAACCGTGCACGGACAGAGCTCAGCAGGGACTGCTCCAGGAGCTTCTTGCTGTGACAGTGAACGGGGGACTGGGGGGCTCCCCGGGGGAGCTCTGGTCACATGGCTGCCCCTCACCTTCCTCACAGCGCAGTGGGAGGACACGTAGCAGCGAGATGAAAGCAGAAACAAACCTAAGAATGGTAAGATTGTGTGCTTTCCATCTCAAAATGGGCAAACAATATTTTTTTTTCAAGTTCAAATCCAAATGTAAGCATGCCCAGGCCACCTCTCCCACCATTTACTACAGGACTTGCAGAGATGGCAGGTCCTGGCTGCTAAACATTTCTTCCTGAAATCCAAGTTTCACAAATTTTTAATCATGTCTCTACTAATAAATTTCAAAAGGTGGACAGGGATTCATAATATCTAAATCCCCTTTTCTTAGTCTCTACTTCAAGATAAAGAATAAGGAAAAATATTTTTATCAGAAACAGGTATCAAAAGACTAGACACTGGAGAACTGATGAATATTCAAAAAGTTCATTCAGGCTTTTTTAGGGAAGCCAGCAGCAGAATGAAACAGTGACAAAAGACACTAAGTTAAAAAAACCAGATGCCTCTCTCAAAGTTTTTCAAATCCCAGGCTAGTAAAGTTTCACATTTGGTCACTCATACCTAAAGGCCTTCTGTGATCCACTGGCCTATGACTGTACCATATACTTCAACAAGGAATGGGGAAAGGAAAATCAGATTACAAAAGCCATGCACATTTAAATGAAAAATGGTCCTGGAAACTGCCTCTACACAGAAGTTTCTCTTTCAACTAAAGAAAACAATTAAGAATTAGTCTGATGTAAAATGTTCAGACAAAAGAAAAATCTATTTCAACATCTCAAAGCACTATCAGAAGAAAAATTTCCACCTATGGTTTAGTTAAGAGTCAGAAAACAGGAAATAAAACATATAAATTAAGTATCAGGGCACTGACTTACATGGTTGCTTAACAAGTTGTGTCTATACATCTATTTCAAGGTTGCTATTAAAAATACAGTTATAAATATTTTAAAAGAAACACATTAGACAAAAGCAGCAATTTTCCCACACCAAGCAGAGTTTTTTCTTCATAAAGCTGTGTATCAGTGTTAGTTCCTCCTTAAAATTCATCATAAATTACATTAAAATGCTTACATTATAAGAATTATTCTTTGTTTAGCATGAGTTTTGTGGTTTTTTTAAGAATACACTTTGAATTAAAATAATATTATATAATTTGTATTGTTGTAATCTTACTTCTTCTTAAAGTTTACAGATAACAGCATGCACTCTGATTTGTAACAGCAATTCAGACAACTGTAGTCTCAAGTTCCTTCTTATGTACAAACACTGCAAGTTTGCTTTTTGCCCTGAAACTATGGTCTTCTATACAAAGGAGCTCAGTGTAAACCAATCTTCCTGGTTTGAGTCCTAAGTCTAACCTCAAATAATACCAACATAATAACACTGACTCAGCCATCCAAATGTGTCAGTGCACATGGCAAAACTCCTTCATAAACAGTCCTCTCTGTTATGTTTATGCAGGATGCCCTCATGAAGCTGTAAAGCTAAATTATCTGATGTAATTAACACTGTTCAGAAAAGGAGAATTTGTCTGCTCAGTGATCATCTTGCTTGGGTTATTTTTACAATACATTCCTCCACTCTGTGCTCAATTCACCCCTAAGCTGCTTATCCAGATACTAAACAGAACATGTGATTAATTTGTGTATCCTTATTTTTTTAAAACATTTGATGGTGACGAGCAATAGGTCAATTTGCCCCTGTAGAATTGCAGCAACTGATCCTTACAAACCTCCTAATTCCTCTGATTAATCCTGTTCCTAGAGGCCAGAGTAATATTACCAAATTATCAGATTCCAGACATATTTCATTTATATCAGGTGACACAGCTTCTCTTAGTTGTGGATTTCAGCTGTGTAAAATGGATGGACAGCAAAACCTCTGCCATTCAAGGATTTTTTATAGACATATTCACTATCAGACGAAATTTCCCTGGGAATTTGTTTCTATGACAATGTATTGCTCTGGAGGTTCAACGATGGCGGAGTGAATTTACATTTTCTACCAGTTGTTGAAGCCTTTGTACACATGAGAAAGCAATCACATACATACGAGAGTATTCTTTTTCCAAACGCACAGGGAATGTTCAACTCCTCATGAATGTATCAGAAATTTAGTCAAAATAGGATTTCACTATGTAACTGCAAAGGCATCATGAAATTAATTCAACAGTCACTGACGGCCTAGGCCAGTGCCACATTAATGTTTTGTCAGATATTAGCAGATAAATAAATACATATTTTAGAAGACCATGGGAAGATTAAGTTTTATTTGACAGAGGTACTGCTGAAAGATACCCAGCTACAAATAACACCAAGACCACAAAGCCTTCATACAAAACTTGGCTTCCTTTGGGCCTCTATTTGTGAAGCATTTGCTCCTGCAGCCACACAAGCTCTTTGTTTTATGATGTAGTCATCAAAAGGAAGACTTGAGAGTGTTTGGCAGCACAAGCAGCGTAGCAGCAGCTCTGAGATCCCATGTTTTCCAAGGAGAGGAAGTTTCCTCTTCAGCTTTGGGACTCGCTTGCGAGTGTTTTGGTAGCATCCTCCCTCTCCCTCGCTCAGAAGACAGCAGCTTTGCTGCTTGCCCAGTTACATATGGGCACCAGCAAAAGCAGGCAGTCTTTCAAAACGCTTTCTTACATCCATGCTGCTTGGCACGTGCCAGTACACCTCTCTCCCACACACAAAAACTGGCTACCAAGTTCTGTCTGCCCTCCCACCTAGAAGAAGGTGGCACAACTTCTCCGCGAGCTCCGTGGCGCTGCGGGCGCCCTTTGCCACAGGCTGTGCGGGATGCAGGGCAGCTCCCCCGAGCAGGCTCCCTGTCATCCTGCCCCCAGCCCCCACGTCTGTGGGCTCATCCCTGCAAGGACCACTCCTGCCTGCATCACTTCCTTCAGCCCGACCTGGAGCAGCCACCTGCGAGCTCCTGCAGGCAGCACCTGCCCGCAAATTGCACAGCGGCTCTGGCAAACCTGACCCACGAGCTCAAGAGTCACTTCAAGGATAAAAAAACCTGGAGATCGTTCTGCTTTCAACTGTGTGTGGTTGCTGGATTGTTTTGCTTGCAGGGATTAGAAGGGATCAAACCCCTCCGTTTCTATGCCAGCTGTGCAATACACTTTCACTTGTTACAAGAATTTCTGGGTAAGTCTGTACGGGAGTAATTAAAATACTCTTCAAAGGGCAACAAAAATGATGAAGTGAGGCTCTGGAAACAAGCTTTATTCAAACATGCTACAATTTCATGCCATTATTCAAATTTTTCTCCTGTCCTCTGCAAAGCACAGTAGCGGTGGGATCACTGGGAGCCGGGGAAAACTAAAAAGTGGTCCTAGGGAAAGTATTTTTTTAAAGCCCCACGTGAAACCCAACAGAGCGACCGGCGCTGCTGCGCGGCTTCGGGATCCCCCGATATCCAGCCACTTCGCGCCGCTGACC